TTCGGTCTGCGGAAAAATCGTCAATGGTTCCGTGCAAAAGAAGATTTTCGTTCGCCTTAGAAGCCGACAAACCTCTTCGCACTTCTTTTTGCCAAGTTTGCACGGCAAAGTTCCCAATTTGCTCCGTCCGACAGGCGACCGATCCGTATACCAACCTGCTTCGTGCTTCTTCCGCAATCATCTACAGCAAAAGTCAGGTATCCTGTTTTGCAAAGCAGCAATGTTGTAACAGTTAGTTGATCGAATACGACGTTCCCTGTCCTTGTATAGGTAACATGTCTGACTGTGTAGCTTAATGTGCCAATGACATGATCTTTGGCTCAAGTAACGAGAAAAGAGGTACGCTTGCAGCTTGTGTTCCTCTTCGGGCTGGGTTTCCCTTTTGGGTTTCCTTGCCTTGCCCGGCGATCCTACCCCAATATCGTTGTGCTGCTGTTGAGGGTCGGATTAACTCAGTTGCGGGAAAGTTATGTGGGTGTGTGTGTGTGTTCTCCGTGCGTGGTTTCTGCGGAAGTAAGATCCTGTGGACGAAGTTTTTCGTTCGGTCTGTGGAAAAATTCGTCAGTGGTTCCGTACAAAAAACGATGTGTATTTTGCCGTGTAAGCCGACACACCCCTGCGCGGTCTTCTTTTCGCCAAGTTTGCGCGGCAAAGTTCCTACCTTTTCCCCGTGCGACAGCCAACCAATCCGTAAACCAACCTCGTTTGTGCTTCTTCCACAAACGTTTACAGCAGAGGCCAGGTATCCGGTATCCTGTCTTGCACGGCAGCAATGTTGTAACAGTTGTGGGAAGGTTGTGTGTTCTTCCGTGCGTGGTTTCTGCGGCAGCAAGATCCTGTGGACGACGTTCTTCGTTTTGTCTGCGGAAAAATCGTCAATGGTTCCGTGTAAAGGGGAACTTGTGTGTTTCTCCGTGCGTGGTTTCTGCGGCAGCAAGATCCTGTGGACGACGTTCTTCGTTTTGTCGGCGGAAAAATCTTCAACGGTTTCGTGTAAAGAAAGATATTTGTTTGCGATGTAAGCCGACAAACCCCTTTGCGTTTCCTTTTGCCAAGTTCGCGCGGCAAAGTTCCTACTTTTTCCCCTGTGGCAGCCAACCGATCTGTATACCTTTCGCGCTTCTTCCACAGACGTCTACAGCAGAGGCCACATATCCTGTCTCGCAAAACGGCAACGTTGCGTGTTTTTCCCGTGCGTGGTTTCTGCGGCAGCAAGATCCTGTGGATCGTCGTTCGGTCTGCGGACAAAACCGTGAATGGTTCCGTGTAAAGAAAGATTTGTGTTTGCGATGTAAGCCGACAAACCCCTTTGCGTTTCTTTTTGCCAAGCTTGCGCGGCAAAGTTCCTACCTTTTCCCGTGTGGCAGCCAACCGATCTGTATACCAACTTGTTTTGCGCTTCTTCCACAAACGTTTACGACAGAGGCCACATATCCTGTCTTGCAAAAGCAAAACGGCAATGTTGTGCGTGTTTTTTGCGTGCGTGGTTGCTGCGGCAGCAAGATCCCGTGGATCGTCGTTCGGTGTGCGGACAAAACCGTGAATGGTTCCGCGTAAAGAAAGATTTGTGTTTGCGATGTAAACCGACAAACCCATTTGCTCTTCTTTTCGCCAAAATTGCGCGGCAAAGTTCACACTTTTTTCCCGTGTGACAGCCAACCGATCCATATAGCAACCTCTGTTGTGCTTCTTCCTCCAATGTCTACAGCGGAGGCATGGAATCCTGATTTGCACAACGGTAATGTTATGAAAATTGTGGAGAAGTTGCGTTTTTTCTTTGTGCGGTTGCTGCGGCAACAAAATCCTGTGGACAATGCTCTTCGTTCGGTCAGCAGAGAAAACGTGAATGGTTCCGTGTTAAGAGAGCTTTTTGTTTGCCTTGTAAGCCGACAAATCCCTTCCTACCTTTCTTGCCAAACATGCACGGCAAAGTTCTCGTTTTCTTCCCGTCCGACAGCCAACCGAAGCGAACACCAAGCTTTTTTGCACTTCGTCCGCGAACGTTTGCAGCAGAGGCCAGGTATCCTGTTTTGCAAAGGCCGCAACCATGCGGCAGTTGCGGGAGAAATGCGCATGTTTTCCGTGCATGGTGTTGCAGCAAGATCCTCTGAACGATGCTCCCTGGACCCTCCCAAAAACCTTCCCACATTCTTGAGTCCCACCACCCACTTTTCTTTCGCAGAAATATATCGCCCAATGACTAATTCTTCTTCGCAAAATCTGCTGGCGAAGCCAGATTGGGATCCAACACATTCCAACCCGAACCGGTATGATTCGATGCATTCTGTTTGGGGTCTTCGCTGGTGTAATGTTTTTATTAAAGACTATTCTAAATTAATAGGTTCCCAAATGAATAAACATAAAGCTAAACTATTCACTTGTAAGTATTGTCAAAAAGGACTTGAAAAGGAAAACTTATTACATAATCATCTTACTAAAGGTTGTATGGCTAACGAGGTTCAAAGAACACAGATTCCCCGAAAATGCTGAAAAAATGTTCTTCAAAAACCATTACAAAAAGTTGAGATGTCCATATGTTATTTATGGTGATTTTGAATGTTTAACAACTTTATCTAATGAAGGATTCAAGGGAACGTATCAAAATCATAAACCATCAGGATTTATGATAAATGTTGTTAATTCTATTACAGATGAAGTTAAGCCTTATTTATACAGAGGTGAGGATTGTATGAATGTATTTTGCAAAAAATGAATGAAATAAGAGATGAGATTATGGACAAAATGAATCATCCTTTACCCATGGAAAAATTAACAGATGAAGAAGAAAAACAATTTAGAGAATGTAAAAAGTGTCATATTTGTGGAAGTTCATTTAATGATACGAAAGATAAACAGAAAGTTAAAGACCATTGTCATTTTGCAGGTAAATATAGAGGTTGTGCTCATAATGAATGTAATTTAGATTTTTGTTTTAGGTACTTTAAAATACCCGTTTTCTTCCATAATCTTAAAAATTATGACGCGCACTTAATTATAACAAATCTTGATAAGTTAAATACTGAAAAAGACGATATAAATGTAATAGCACAGAATAGTGAGAAATTTGTTACTTTTTCAATTAAACAAATTGAATTTAAAGATAGTTTTAGTTTCTTATCTTCATCCGTAGATAAGCTAGTTAAACTAACCAAATATGACGCCTCGCCAGAGGCTCGCGACGCACGCGACGATAATGAAAAAAGAACTGACTGGACAAAGCATTTTAAATACAGTAAAATGAGTGAATATGTAAAAGATGATTATGATTTAGATTTACTAACAGATAAGGGTGTTTATCCTTTAAAAACTGATGTGTTGTTATTAACAGATGTTTTTGAATATTTTAGAACTCAATGTTTAAAAGATTATGATTTAGACCCTGCTCATTATTTTACATTACCTAATTTTGCTTGGGATGCTATGTTATTAAAAACTGGTATAACTTTAGATTTAATATATAATGAGGATATGTATAAAATGGTTGAGCGAGGACTTCGCGGGGGTATGTGCCCAGTATCTAATAGAAAAGCAGAAGCTAATAATAAATATATGAATGAATTATATGATGAAAATAAACCTTCTTCATACATAATTTATCTTGATGCAAATAATTTATATGGTCTAGCAATGTGTCAAAAATTACCATATAAAGACCTTGAATTCATTGATTATAAAATGGAACTTAATGATATAATGGAATATGAAGACTTAGGAGTAGGTTACACTATGGATGTTGATTTAGAATATCCTGATAATATACATGATTATCATAGTGACTACCCGTTAGCCCCTGAAATTATGAACGTAAGCGTTGACATGTTAAGTGAAACACAGAAGAAAATATATAAATCATATAACTATAATAAAGAACCAAGAGATGAAAAAAACAAAAAACTTATATTAAATGTTAATGATAAACAGAACTATGTATTAAATATAAAGATATTAAAATTTTATTTACAACAAGAAATGAAACTAAAGAAGGTAAATAAAACAATTCGTTTTAAACAAAAAGGATGGTTGAAACCATGGATTGGTTTTAATCACAGAGTTGATAAGGGTCCCCTGTGGACGGGACCCCTGTGGGTTGCATTTGCCCAATGGGGCCCAATAGGGCCCAATGGGGCCTAATGGGGGCAAATGGGAAAGCCATTGGGCCCCATTAGGCCCCATTTGGGTGCATTGGGCCCCAGTGGACAAATGCAACCCACAGGGGTCCCGTCCACAGGGGACCCTTATCAACCCTGTGATTTAACACTGATCAAAGAAAACAAGCAACTAGCGACTTTGAGAAAGATATGTATAAATTAATGAATAACGCGGTATACGGCAAAACGATGGAAAATGTAAGAGAACACATTAACTTTGAATTAGTTGATACGCCAGAGCGTTTTCAAAAGGTAGTTAATGACCCTTGTTTTAAATACAGACACATAATTAATGAAAACTTAGTAGGAGTTGAAAAGATAAAGGACACTGTAAAAATAAACAAACCTATATATGTAGGAGTTAATATATTAGATTTAAGTAAGTTACATATGTATAAGTTTTACTATGATGTTTTGAAAGAGAAGTATAAAGATAATATTCGTTTAATATATATACTGATACAGATAGTTTTGTAACACATATAAAAACTAATGATATATATGAAGATTTTAAGGATATAAGTAAACATATGGACTTTAGCGGTTATGATAAAGAACACAAATGTTATGACCCGATTAAGCTGCTTGGGTCCTACCAAAAGTGTGTTCGTGAGCCTTGAGGGGGGGTGGGGGGGAAAAACGTACCATCTCTGGATGCTTCACCTTTATGCGGACATGTGCATGAAGTTTTCACTTTGAGCCAATGATTTTCAGTTGAACAATGCAGTGCTGCTTGATCGGTTGTACAGTGTGAATGAGATCACGACTGCAGAGTCACGACTCAAGTTGTTTTGTGAGTGGGTGGGCGTAGGGGACCTCCGGCGCTATGGCTCACCGTGAGTGATCTTTGCAATGGGCTCGGAGTGGCAGCAGCCACGAGAAATCAACCCTGTGTTCTGCGAGCGTATTTCGAAGGTCTTCATTCATGTCGGGAACTTTTGCTTGGCAGCAGCTTCGCTTGAGGATGTACAGGAAATCGTGGATGATTCGATGAGTGATGTTCTTAAGATTGAAGATCGTGTGGCGCTTACAGAGTCAGTGCATAAGTGGTGCGCGCTCCATCAGGGAACTGTCGAGAGAACTGTTCGCGAGATCGGGCAGAGGGTCCGGCGAGGCCCTTATTTGCGTCGTGGACCCAGTGCAACAGCTGCTGAATTGTATGAGGGGTATTTGGCTTCGGATCCTGTGCTGGGTTTGGCTGCTCTTGAGAAGAAGCTGAAGCTTCGTAAAGCTGGGACAGGGGCGCGTGTTGAAGCAGAGGACACGTGCAGGCGAGGTTGGGGACTCAAGCTTGCTGGCTATATCCAGGAGGCAGCCCTCCCGGCAGAGAATCGGGGCACTCGCTGATGCGGAGTCGGCCTGGCTTCGGGCTTTCGGGAGCAGGCGCGGCAAGACATTGAAGAATCGGGCTCGCACATGGGAGCCGGTGCGTGAGTGGATGATACAGGCAACGGGAAAACCTTGGCCAGGCGATGCATCGCTGTTGCTGCAGTACTTCGATGAGAGGCATCAGGTCAAGCCAATGGGGAAGACTGTGCCGCAGAGTGTCTTGTCAAGTCTTTGCTTGCTGGAACTGGTTGGGCAGAGGCATTCTGCAGATAGGCTGTCGGAGGATCCTTTGCTTGTGGAGTCCGTGAAGGCGTGGACGATGCAGTTGGAGACAGGTGCCGAGCCGGTCAAACAGGCTGACGGTAGCAATGGTGCTCTCGGCTGAGATTCTGCTGGTTAAGGTCGGTACACCCCCTGGGCTGCGATTCGGATGCTTCATTTTCTTGCTCATGTGTTGGGGAACGCTGCGATGTGACGATATACAGGGGATCGATCCTTCGAGTGTGACGCTGTCCCAGCTTGGAATGAAGTTTGTTCTCTCTCGGACCAAGACCTCTGGACCTGGTAAACGGATTGGTCAGCTGCATGGATACCTTGTGAGGAGCATAAGCCTTTCTGGATATGACTGGATTGCGCATTCATGCAAACTCTTGATGAGCGAGGATTTCAAGTTTGCTCGAGATTTCTTGTGTCCGGACATTGGTGAGGCTTGGGAGGTCAAGTCGAGGGAGTATGTCGGTGCAGAGGGCGTCGCTAACCTTGTGCGTCGTGTGATCTTGGAGCTGCCTGTCCCTGGGAAAAAGGATGGAGTCTGGGGTTTGAGCAAGACGACGAAGCTGGTTCCGAAGGAGCTGGCACTCTTCTGGTCTGGGCACTCACCGAGGCATTTCCTTCCATCCTTGGCAGCAGCGATTGGGATCGATGAGAAGAAGCGCGACTTCCTCGGACGGTGGGCGGCTGCGCGACAAGGGTCCACTGCATATGTGCTGACGGCCAGACAGATTATTCAGCAGGTCCAGGCTGAGGTGTGCGAGACACTTCTGACTGGGAAGAACCAGCCCGGCTACATCGAGGAGGAGCTGCTTCTTCGCTTAAGGGCGTTTGCGGAGCAGCAAGGTCTTTCAAGTGGGGCGGTTGCCCGTCACAAAGTCATGGTTTGGTGTGCGCTCAACTTGTGCTGGAGTCTGCAAGGAAAGTTTCCAGCAATTGCGGTTGACCCTGGTAGCCATCAGCAGGCGGTGGCTGAGCCACCGAGGGACCAGCCAGCGCCTCCCCCGGAGGAGGAAGAGGCGCCTTACTTTGTGGTTGTGAGTCGCAGCGGGCATAGGCGTCTTCACATGTCTCGCACATGTGCAGTGAGACAGGAGCGTTGCTTAGAGACCATCCCCTTGTACAGTATCACTCAGGATTCAGCCGACGCGATTTGTAAGTTGTGCAGGCCCCGGCTACAGGAGCAGGGGGCGATCAGCAGTGAGTCCGCATCCTCAGATGCACCAGAGCCGTGACACGTCAGTGGCTTGGCCCTGTGTGTCAAAGCCGGCAGTGCTTCGGTTGTGCCACGTCCCGTGAGTGTCAGATTGGGACATTGCATCAGATTGAGAAGAGCCGCAGTCACGTCAGTATCAGGTGGAGTGCTGTGACATGTCTTTCTTGTCGTAACGTTGTGCGAATTGAGGTGAGCTGATCAGACTCTTTAGACACAGTGGCATCTTTTCACACGGTGTGTTTGGAGGTAGCTTGCATTGAGTTCCAGACATGGAATTGCCAGCTGGAGTGAGTGAGGAAGCAGCTTCGAAGTTCTTGTCCACTGAAGTCGATGCTGAGCTTGCACACATCCTTCAGGAAGCTGGAGTCTCGCTTGGATTGCAGTATAAGCTCACACAGTCTTTCAAGACTGTGAGGCGTTTTCAGTCTTATGAGGACACCCGGGCAGGGATCCGAGATGCCTTGAAGAACGATTTCGCTTTGGAGCCTTCCACTCTTGATAAGCGTGCTGGGATCTCGGCTGTGATTAGTGCTTGGGAGGCATGTCAACAATTTGCCGCGAAAGAGCAGGAGCTTCGCGCGGAAGCGCGTGTGTTAGGGGTTTCGAGGCCCGTCACACAGACAGATCGGAGTGCGATGAGAGCCGCCTTCGAGGCGACCCACGGCAGGCTTGAAGATGCACATGAGCCTTCCGAGGATTACATCTCAAGCAAAATGGAGGAGCTTGAGGCTCATGAGCCGACGGCTTCACCGCTGTCCGAGGTTACATCACGCAAGACTGTGAAGACTCAGGGGATCCAGACTGCAGTCGATTCCTCGGGCCATGTTCGCATGGACGAAGGTCAAGGGATCACTGCCTCAGGGCACTGAGGAGTTGCGCACAGTGATGCGTGTTGAGTGCAACCTGTGGTGCTTCTTGGCGACTAAGTATCGCAACCGCGAGCTCTTGCGAGGCATGGACCCCGAGTGCTGGAATCAGTATGTTGCATTTCTGCTGTCTGACAAGGTTTACCTTATGAAGGTGCCGATGGCAGGCGGCAAGGGCAATCAGACCGAGCATGTACCATTGCGGCCCCCTTGGTCAGTGTTGCTGAATTTCGAGTTTGAGTTGCGAAAGGAGGCAATCAAACGGGCTGTACAGGGCAATCGGCCTTTGAAGGATACACTCGTGGAGGTGACGTCAGATGCTCAGCTCAAGGAGCAGTATTTTACGTCGCCCATTGCCCTTCAACAGGTTGCACCTCCACCGCGCCCAGATCCTTTCTGGCCACAGCGACGGTTCCGACAGTGGGACAATGATTGGTCCGAGAGCCCGGCCAAGTGGCAGCGAACAGGCAAAGGACGTGGCCATGGAAAGGGCAAGAATCAAGAACGGCAAGGGGGGCAAGGCCAACCGCGATGAATCCAAGGGCGATGGCAAGGGCCTAGGCGGTGGCAAGGGCAAGAGTGATCATGCCCTCTGGACACACACGCCGGATGGGCGTCAGATCTGTTTTCCATATAATGCTCAGGGTTGTGATGGCAGCTGCGGTAGAGTTCATGTATGTCGCGTCCGAGGGTGCATGCAGTCCCATCCGATGTGGCAGCATTTCCAGAGCTTGGCAGCGAAGGCGGCCGCACCGACCCGGGCACAAGCCACCAACTGACGTTGCTGTATCTTTTCGCTGGGCAGGCACGGGATGGAGATATCAGATCACACTTACAGCAGCTCTGCACGTCGCGGGGACTGGATTTAATTTTGCATGAGTTTGATTTGCTGCGAGGTCCTGAACAGGATCTATCTTCGCACAGGCTTTGGGAGCGTCTCTTCAAGGACATTTCGTCTGGAGCCTATGATGTTCTTATTTTGAGCCCGCCATGTTCCACCTTTTCGCGGGCTAGACGGCTAGACATCGTTTTGCGGGGGCATTTGGCCCACGCCCACTTCGTTCACATGTCCATCTGCTGGGTTTTTCCTTGGTTGCGTAATTCAGATCGCACAAAAGTTGAGCTGGCAAATTTCTTCGTGCAACAGTCTTTCGAGGCCATCCGTTTACAGAGGCAGCAGGGCTTATACTTCATTCTTGAACATCCTGAAGATCTGGGCCGTGTGCCGTCCGGTGAGAGGCCTGCTTCTATTTGGTCTTTTGATGAGGTTCGTCAGATTTGCGCTGGAGGCGATGTCAGTTGCTGGGCATTGCATCAATGCCTTTTCGGGGCTATGTCATGCAAACCCACTCGCTTGTTATCCAATTTGCCCGGGGCATTGGACTTTGGGATACAGATGCCATGTTTCAATGATGACGGGGATTACGTGGGACCGCTCTTGCGGTGCCCGCATACACATGCAGATCGAGCATGCGGCTTTCATGATGGCGCTTGGAAATCGGCCGCCACGGCGGCTTATCCTTCGGACTTCGCTGCTTTCTTCGCCCGTCTCTCTTTGAGTGTGGTGCCTGAGCTGAGGGCCGTGGCTGATTCCGACCTGATCCCGGCCAACATCCCTTCGTCAGCCGAGGCCTTTGCCACGGAGTGCATCGCACGCGGTTCTTTCGATCGCGCTTCAGTTCAGATTCTTTTCGACTTGCTTCCTAAGACTCGGCCTCACAAGATCACAGGCAGCGCAGAACCTGGCACCGCTTTCTTTGGAGGCACTGTGCATCAGGAGGGCCTCACCGCACCGCGGTCCACTTGTTATACATCCATGCGTGTGATCAATGCTTTTTGTTCTAGGAAACCCCAGATGTCCATGATGCTTTTATATGCTCACTGATGCCTTGGCTAGGCTGTTGAGCTACGTGTTTGAAGTATCTAATTAATATCTCTTGCGAACCAATTCTTTTATCTACTCTTTGAACACCGCACATGCATACATGACACACGTACGTGTTCGAGTGCTGTGCGGTAGGAGTAGGAAGATGGGCGCTGGCCCGAAACAAGAACAGAAAGAAGACCAAAAGAAAGCGGAAAGGCTACGGGGCAGCCATGTAAAGGTCTAGTGCAAGGGATTCTCACTTCTGTTCGCGTGCATGTTTTTGCAAACGACATATGCTTGTCTCGAAGGCGCCAAGCATGTCTCAAAGCCATTACACGACGAAACTGCGATGGCTCAAGAACGACAAAAGGCCACTGACCGTGCGGTGAACACCTTTCGTGAAGCTCTAACTCCCTCGGAAGCCAGAAGCACTGAAAGCCCGTCTGCATTAGATCACGACATTGCAGAGTTCCTTCAGTGCATCAGACAGAGAAGCACGACATTGCAGAGTTCCTTCAGTGCGCGGGCGCACTGACTGGCATTCAGGTTGTAGTGATTCTTTAGGTCCTTTAGGTTGTTTGGTTTCCCTAACGTTTTCCCGATCCCGGTTTAGGCGGTCCTTATCGTACCCTAAAAGGCTCAAACGTTCAAGCTGTGAAAGCTGGTCGGCGACAACGGTCGCGATCGAAGAACTGAACTACTTAGTATTGCTATGGAGCTATCGCCTGTTCCTACGCATTATTCTGTAGTCACCGATGGAAGCCCATATCAACAACAGGTTATGACTGCCCAAGCTACCCAAGAGAACAGCAGTTCACCAGGGACTTATCATGCCACCATGAATGTGCAAACTCTTCAGAGAATGCAGGTCGAGATTCCAGTAGAGGTTTTGCGGAGTTTCCAGCAAGCAACTGCTTTTGATCAGGCAGCATTGTCTGACTTGAGTGCCGCTGTGCAGGAGCTGCATGATCGACTCCAGTATCGCACTGGGCTTCTGGGGTCCGCCGTAGAAAATGTTCATGGTGGGTATCAGAGGGTTCTTGATGAATTGCAAGCCGTAAGCGTTGCCGTGGACGCACAGCATCGCGTGATCCAGACATTGATTCGGAGCCGTGATGAAATGCATGAGCAGATAGAATCAGTGAAACATGATCTTCAGACTAGGGTGGATCTTCTTGAAGGTGCGCAGATGGGTACTAAGCAATGGCAGGCCCAGGTCGAGGCACACATCCAGAAGATTGACAACACCTTGTATGTCATGAATGAACGCCAGCAAAGATTGGATGCAAAGTCCGACGCAGCGCTTCAGGCGTGCAGTGATCAGCAGACTGATGCAGCATCTTCCAGTGCAAATGCTCGTATTGCAATGCTTGAGAAGGATCTGTCAGAGCTGCAGAACAAACACGAACAGTTGCTTAATCTTGTAGGTGATCTGTATGCAGAGGACACCACAGGTCCTGCAACCGCACCGTGGCCAGATTGGAGCTGGCCGGAACAGCATGGAGCGGCGTGGCCCACTTTTGAGGCTCCCCAGTTTGCAGTTCCTCCAGGTTTGAGTGGAAATGCTCAAGGCGTTGGCGGCCTAGGTCAAGCGCAGTACTTCAACATAGGTTCACCAGGCCCTGGATGGGAGATTCTTGTGCAGGGGGAAGAGTGTTATGCCGAGGGGATGCCGGTGGGCTTCGACTCACCACTGCCGACGGCGCCACAGGTGTTCCGGCCGAGGGACCGTTTCCGCAAGCTGGATGAGAGTGAGTTTGAACCGCAGATGCAGAACTACTCTTCTGCTGAACTGTCTTCAGATAAGATCGAGGAGCACTTCAGGGCTGAGGAGCGGGAAGGCTTGATGGTGGCGACGACTGAAGGGGCCGTGAAGGCGGAGTACGGCGAGGGGCGACTTCTGGTGGCCGCCATGGGCGCCATTCTTAAACCAAGTGGTGACGTCCGCCCTCTTCACGACGCCACCCACGGCGTCCGCTTGAACAATGGTATCAGGATTGCAGACAAACTCGATGTGCCTGGACCTGCAGAAATCATCGAGACCGTGTCCAGGGCGCGGCAGGATTTTGGTGTCCCCTTCTCCATTGCGGCGGACATTGCTAAGGCACACAGGAGGTCCAAAATACGACGACGCGACTGGCCCTTGTTGGGCTGCCGGACTTCGTCGGCATCCAAAGTGATTTGGCTTAATTGCGTAGGAACTTTCGGAGTAAGTTCAGCGGCGATCCTTTGGGCCAGATTGTTCGGATGCATCGGACGCTGGGTCTTGAGAGTGATGGGACGGCT